CTTGAAGAGAACCCTAAAGCAAGCTGAATTGAGAGAGAAAAGAGAATTGAGTATGAACACGCATTTCTGAGACTATTTTTAGTGATCAAAGCTTGATTTAAGCTCAGAAATACACTCAGAGAATTCACAAGAGAAGATGATCAAATAGAGGCCTGTTGCTGTGATTTTTGCTAGCGCAAAAGCTAGTTTGAAGGTCTAAGTTTGGTTTGAGCTTGCTATGGTGCTGAGACAAGGTTAAGGCAAGTGTAACTTATTATTTCACATCTGCAGAAAGAATGTTTATTACCATCTTTTAGCTGCATTTGATTTTGATGTCTCAGACCTATGTATTAGCCTGTTTTTCTGGTTTAGCTTGTTGATCCGAACTTAATATCACTATATCTTGCTATGAGTTGCATAATTATCATCTGACCAAGTTTCTATAGTTGAATCAAGGTTGTTGAAGTTGAGGTTTGGACAAAATTAAGGTCAGTACAGAATTTGACATTGTGAAACCCTAATTCTTGAACGTTTTGCATAACTGAACCTGTATATGACTTGTAATTGTACATGTTATATTCATCCTGATTATCATCTGAGCATGTCTGTAATGATGATACAAGGTTGTGGATTTCATCTCTGAGTTTGTGGGACACGAAATTCCTATTTTACCCCTCAAACCCTAGTTTCAGCAGAATGAAGGCAGGGTGTTTGTATTGATACTTTGAGCTGATTATTCACTCTTATCTTGTGTAATAGCTTGAGTATTGTTGTAATACATCTTCTTATATATATTTGGTGAGCTGTGAGAGCTTGCAGGGTCCAAGTAGGGTTGCTTAGGACAGGGGAGTGCAAAGTGCACTTAGTGGTGCTAATGTGTGTGTAGAGGTTGTGAAAGCTAGCGTTTCATCTTGTACAAGGGTGTGTGCAGAGAGTGAGATAACTGAGTGTGTAACTACTTGCATACAACTAGTGGAGATTTTATTGGCTAAAGCCAATAACCAAGGTTTTTCCCTATTAAGAGGATTTTCCTTCTAAATGCACTGAGTACTTGTAAGTGTGTGTAAGCTTTTTTATATATATAAGTGAATGTGGATTGAAACGAAAAAAGTGTTCAAAAGGGGAACGCGTCCCATATACAAAAACAAAACCGAAACCTAAGGACCTAGAACGTCCAAAAAAATCTATGAAATCATCATTAGAAGAACAATAACTTCCCTTCACCCAACTTAAAATGGAACGAAGAATAAAAAGTTTTAGAGTCGCCGTGGATTCCTTCAAATAGTCTATTGTTTCGCTCTCTCCAAGTGCACCACCGCACACAATGCGGGACTGTCCTCCAATAGTCTCGAGCAAGACCACCTACACAGCATCCCTTCCACGCACTAATCAGGCCTCTTGAAGACCGTGGCATTACCCACTAAGTACCGAATAACCCAAAGATCATGTTCCAACAGTTAGACACCACGGGGCAGTGCACAAGGAGATCACAGACTCACCATCATTTTTGCATAGGCAACACCAGTTAACAATAATATTGCCTCTCTTCCTCAGATTGTCCAGCCTCAAAATCTTACCCCAAACGGCTGTCCATACAAAGAATGCCACTCTAAGGGGAGCCTTAGAGCGCCATACTGTCTTCCAAGGGAAATCAGAACTAGCAAATTTGGAGAGGCACAAGAACTTGGACCGGACATCGAATCTACCATAGGAAGATGGAACCCATAACAGCATCATGACCTTTGCAAACTGCGTCCTATTGATACAACAAATCCAATAAGACACACACCTCCTCCATCTCCCAATCCTAGAAAGAGCGCCTATAGCGCACATCCCACGTAATCCCATTGCTATCAAGCCGATAGCAATCAGCAACATAGGCATGTCTATTGGCAGCGATTCCATAAAGTCTAGGAAAGAGACAAGACAAAGGCTAGTCACCACACCAAAATCCTCCCAGAACCGAACACATCTACCATCCCGAACTTTAAAACGAATATGAGAAGAGAAACATCCCACCCCTTCCGAATGCACTTCGACATCCTCCAGCAATGGAAAGTGGGCAAGAAGACCACCCGAATCTACGAGAGATAATCCTCATGAAGATGCATCCCACCAGATTGATGGGTCGAAAATCCCTGTGGAAATCATTTGCTTATTTCCGACTCTCAAAGTGTGTGTAAGCTTGTTGAATCTGTCATCATCTTCATCACATTGGATTGATCATACAAAGAAGAAAAGTTTATACAAGAACCAATTCAACAACCCCCCCCACCCCCCCCCCCCCCCCCTCCCTCTCTCGGTTCATCACCAAGCCTCCGACACGAATCGGACAACAAACCTTCTCCCAACGAACAAGATGGAACTTGAACTCCTCCCTTCCCCCCCCCCCCCCCCCCCGCGGAAAGAAAATTTTGTTGCAGCCTCTTAATCATAGAATAAAGAATTTGGAACAATGAGAGGAAGCAAGTAGGAAGACTTGAAAGTGTACTCTTCAATAGGGTGTCCCTTCCTCCCTTAGATAGATATTGTTTTTTCCATCCCGCCAACCTCTACTCGAACCACTCCACCACAACCTCTTCCCCAACAGTCACCAAAACGCTCTTTCCCACATTCATTATCAGACTGGAGATAATTTAGAACCAAATCAGAACACATCTCAAATATCTGAACTGGGACACATCTGCATCACAAAACACCAAAGTGTCGTCGGCAAACATCAAGTGAGAAATCTCCAACTGACTAGCTGCATCCCTCCCCACTGTAAAACCTCCCAGAAAACTAGTCCACAGCCTCCTCAACAGTCTACTAAGGGCCTTCATCACAACAAGGAAAAGACAAGGAGAGAGCGGATCCCCTAATCTCAAGCCCCCCGAACTGGAAAAAAATCCCGTTGGAGATCCATTCACAAGCACAGAGATGCGAGGACTGGAAATGCAAAACTGAATCCATCGCCTCCATCTCTCACCAAACCCCATCCTTTCCAACAGATAGAGAAGAAAATTCCAACTCACATGATCATAAGCCTTCTCAATGTCGAATTTACAGAGGATGCCAAGAACCCCACTACACAATCTAGAATCCACACAATTGCTAGCGATAAAGGCTAAATCCAAAATCTGACGGCTTCCCACAAAGGCATTTTGAGAGTCGGAAATAACCCCACCCAAGACTCTCCTCAACCTAAAAGCAAGAACTTTGTCAATCAACTTGTAGATGCATCCCACCAAACTGATGGGTCGAAAATCCCAAACACCCCCCCCCCCCCCCCTCCCCCCTCTTTGGAATAAGAGCAATAAAGGTAGCATTCAGACTTTTCTCAAAACAACCCTGAGTATGAAAAGCATGAAAAGTACTCATCACCTCCCCCCTTACCACCTCCCAGCTCTCCAAAAGGAATCTTATGGAAAAGCCATCAGGTCCTAGGGATTTATCCCCATTACAACTATTCAAAGCAGTCAAGACCTTTTCTTTTCTTTTTTTAATAAGTAAAGCAGTTAAGACCTCCTCTTCTGAAAAAGGCTACTCCAAACTAGAGCACTCCTCAGCAGATATAGAGTCAAAGTGAAGCCCCCCTAACGAGGGTCTCCAATTTGAGGTTTCTATAAACAACATCTTATAGAAATCAACAATCCCCCTGCACACCTCCTCCTCCTTACACAACAACTCTCCTTCCACCCGAATCCTCTCCATATGATTGCCCTTTTATGGGCATTGGCAAGTCTATGAAAGAACTTCGTATTTTTGTCACCCTCCTAGAGCCACAAGGCTCTAGACTTTTGTCTCCACGAGATCTCTTCCATAATAGCAATCTCATCAAACTCTGCCTGCAGCCTCCTACGCCTCAATGACTCCGCAAGGTCGCCCTATCCCTCCAATCTATTAATCTCTGCAATCTTTGATAAAGCACGATTTTTCCTCCACTCCAAATTCCCAAACACCTCTTTATTCCATGTTTTAATGTCTTCCTTCAAAAGGCGCAACTTACTCGCAAGGGTATGACTTGGAGTGCCAACCACCCCATATACCTCCCACCAAGACCGAACCATGTCAAGGAAGCCCTCTGCACAAAGCCACATGTTCTCGAATCTGAAAGGGGATCTTCTACTCTGCAACCCACCATAGTCCAAAACCAACGGAGAAGATCTGCCACTACACCAAGTAAAGGATGCTCCCTCCAAGGGCAAATCAATCAAATGAAAGTCATCGATAAAAACCGAAAAAAGCTCCATATTCGAGGTCCACCTACCCCCGTCGACCTCTCAAAGGGAGAGCGCACGACATTGAAATCCCCTCCTACACACCACGACCAAGGCCATCTGCTTCTAACAGATCCAAGCTCTTCCCAGAACAGATGGCGTACATTATCCTCCGTAGGGCCATAAACACCCGAAAAGAGCCAATGGAAACCATCCTCCTCCAAAGAAAAAATGCACGACGCTGAAAACCTACCTACCCAAGAATCCATCTCAGAAACCCATCTTTTATCCGAGGTTCACCTATTACTGATTGTTGATCTTAAAATGTGCTTCTAGAATAAGGGAAAAACTACCGAATGAGTGAGAAGAACCCATTCGCACATAAAATGTTGGGGAGGTCAAACCTAATATTCTGCATAAATCCAACTAAAAATTCAACATTTACTAAACAAGTTTCTTTCTTTCTTTCTTTCTTTCTTTCTTTTTTTTTTCTTTTCAAAGAAAGAAAACAATAAAAAGAAAAGGTCTCTACCTCAATGGTGGTGCCGCCTACATGGGTTGTTGGGAGGGAAAGACTCAAGACTGACAAATATTTAATATTATATTGTGCTTGTCAATATAGGCATGTCTAGTGCCCACACTGAGACCAATTTTGTGAACAACTAAAATTCATGTATATGGTTCCTGAACATATTTTGTCATAAATCCAGTAACTTTTGATTTTAGTTCTGTGTTCTTGGAAATTCAAATGCATAAAAATGATGATGGGAAGTAAACACAAGCTCCCATTATTGAGAAAGAGAACAATGGCATAACAAATACCTTTAATAGTGTCAAAAGAATGAGATGACCTTCAATGATATCTTCTGGAGTTGATGGTCTAGATAAACCCACCAGATGTCTAACTCTTCTAAAAATCTGGGAGAGTCGCCCACTCATTGGGTCCACTAGCTCCCCTCTTTGCAAAACATCACCAGCATTATACATTTCAAACTGAAAGTGGATAAAGAAAATATCATCTTATAAATTATTGGAAATTGTAATAATTTATTTAGTAGGTTGATTAGAACAGATGAGACATTATTTATTAAGTGAGAAGAAGCTCACCAGTACATGATCAAGGCATAGAGGGGTTAAGCCTCCTCGGTTGAACCAAACGTTCTTTACCTCGGAAGGTCGAATGAGGAAGACACCTAGATGGCGAGCCACCTTAAGAATCAAGTCCTTCCAGAACTCCAACTTTGGCTCCCAATCGGACCTCTGTCCACTGAACGCCTTGAATCTTGCACTCGCCTTCACCTCGTCATCCCAATCTCCAACTTCCTCCCGTATGAATTCCGAAATCGACCATGACTCCATCCCTATAAATTCATTAATACCCCCAATTGAATTCAAGCCCCCCTTTACCACGGCCTCAGCAGAGTAACGCCAACAGCCTTCCACTTTTCAAAACACTGCCAAAAAAATTCAAATTCTATGAAACCCTAGATCTCGCTCATACAGTCTGGAATTGCAAATGGCACCACCAGTAAAATCACAACTCATGTATCCAAAGCTGGTAAGATTACAACTGCCTCCCTCTCCCTCCCCCTCCCCCTGTACCTTTCTCCATTTAAATGTGTGGGAAAGTTTAGGGAAATTGCATTTTGACAAATTTTTGTTACAATACAAACTTAAGTCACATCAATGAGAGGGTGCAGACTTAAGTCATAACTATTACAAAAATACGTATTACAAAATATTTTTAAAAAATAAAATAAAAATAAAAATCATGTTTGATATTATATTTTTGTTTCTCTATAACAAAAATGTTTTCTATTTTTGTAAAGAAAGAAGAAAATATTAAAAATATATATTTCTCATGTTTTTGACACTGTTGAGTAAAAACGTTTCCATTATTATTATTACATATATATAATGTTTATTTCAACTAAAATATATGTTATTCAAATTATGTACTAATGATACATATTAAATACTAATAAAAGTTATATTTTTAATATATAATTAAAATATTAAATATTAGTGTAAATTATTTTTTATTTAACAAAAATATATTTTTAAAATATAGTATAAATAGTGTAAATTATTTTTTGGAACAAAAAAATTTATGTTTATTTATTATTTATTTTGTATAATATTATTAAATTATTATGCAACATATATAATATATTATTATATACCATATCTATAATATATTATAGATATATTATTTAACATTTTTATTTATTATAATACAGTATATGTTAAATATATTATATAATATATGTATAGATGATGCATTGTAATGACCCAATCATCTTCCCTCATTTTCTTTTTCTCAAATTTTACGGATAAATTTTTTCAATTTAATTTTCTTTTCCGAGTTTGGTTTCTCATCACTTAGTGTCGTCTCGAGTGCTCGGAAATGATTTCCAAAATTCTTTCCCTTGGATTGACAACTTCCTTTAAGGACCGAGTCATTTTCAATTTTTGGATACTATTCACTTTTCGTCCTTTTTCCCGTTTATCACTTTTTTTGGCACAACCTCACTTTTCGTGTTCGGAGTTGGTTTTTGATTTCACGTATTCCACGAAACACGTATCTTACTTTTGTAGAAAAGTACCTGGTTACTCCCAGTGTCCACAGGGGTATGGATGTAAAGTTCTTCAGAAATATTTTTGTTTCTTGGGGTATTTTTCGTAAATATCTTTTGGATATATTTTATTTCTGGGGTTTTTAAGAAAATATTTTTGGAAGATATTTTCAAATTTTGGTCATTAATGCAGTTAACCCTTTTTGTAAGGGCTATTGTGCAATTAACGAAAGTTAATGTAAAAATGTCTCGTTTTGAGTCTGGATTCTCGTACAGGATTCATTTTCACATTTCGTCAAGTCGAGTACTCTTAAAATTTCCTCCTGATCGTTTTTCCCTAGTTTTAGGGATTTTGGGCCCAGTTAGCACTAAACTTATTTGGGGCATATCTCTCTGCTCAGGATTCGATTTTCGACGCCGTTTCTTCCATTATACATCTTTTCTCATTTTTGTTCTTTTTCGTTCACGGAGTTTCGCCGTTTGAGCTTGTCTGCTCAATTCCACTTTTCCAGACCCGGCGAAGCCCTTTCGGGGCACTTTTAGGGTTTTCCTATAAAAGGGGGGTGAGACATTTCATTTTTGACCTTCCCTTTCTTCATGGACAACCAGTAGCTACCACTCTTCTTCTCTCATTTTAACCTTCTTCCCTTAGGTATTTTGCCGTCGTGCCTTAACGTCTACCGAAGGCCTTGACTAGGCCTTCATTTTCCACTTATTAGTAACCATTTCCGACCATTTTTAAGAACGGGTTTGGATTTTCATGGTTTCTCAAAGGTTAAAGTTGTTTCCCTCGTTATCCCCGACATAATATAGGAGTATCATCAAATTCGGAGTATTTTTCTTTTGGTGGGGATTTGAGATTTCATATCAAAGTGAGGTAAGGGATGTTATTGGTTAATATTTTTGTTGTCTTGCATGTTATTGATGCTTATACAACTTGTATGCATGCCTTTGTGTTTATTCTAGAATTTAATTTAATTATTTTCTTTGTATAGAATTTAATTTACATGGTTGTATATAGTTTAGAATTAAATTGTGGCATGCTATTAAATTAAGTCTTGATATGTTCATTAACATATATTAAATTGGGAGTATTTGATTAAGTATTGAAGGTTTTATTTAATCTTTCACTTGTATGAAGATTTAATTCACATGGTTGTAACTAGCATGAAATTAACTTATAATGTGATATTAAATTAGGCCTTAGTATGTTCTTTAACATAATATAAATTTGGGAATATTTGGAATTATTTTAAAATCTAGAAAAAATTAATTAATTAGATTAATTAATTTTATTTAAGTGTTCTAATCACTTAATTGAATTTTTAACTTGATATTATTGATGAGCATACTATGTTCTTTCATATAGATTAAAATGAGATTATTTGAATAGGTTTTAAAAATTTTATTTAATTATTTTCTTGTATGCATGTTTAATTCTCATGGTCGTATCTTGCATGGAAGTAACTTGTGATATGCTTTTAAATTAAGTCTTGACATGTTCTTTAACATACTTTAATTTGAAAGCATTTGGGTAAGTTTAAAAATCTAGAAATTTTAATTAAAAGAATTAATTAAAATCTATTTAATAGTTCTATTGGCTTGATTAAGTTTTAAACTTGATATTTGTAATGACTAGAACTTATTTACTAGCATGTCTTAATTTTGGACCATTTGGAGTTGATTTAGAATTTAGAGATTTAATTATCATGATTTAATTAAATTCTACTTTCTTGTTCCGATGACCTAATTAAGTTTTTGAATAAATATATGTAAAGACCATGCTATATTGTTCAACATATATATTAATTATGGATTATTTGGTTGAGATTTGAAACCTAGAGAAATTAATTAGTTTATTTAATTAATTTCCGTTTCTATTGCATTAATGATTTAATCATGTATTTGACGTTAATTGTATGTTTAAATCATGATTTTGGACTTGTATTAGATTCATGAGTTTATGTTTTTAATATTGAATGATATTGTTATAGCGTGTAACGAATCACACACTGAAGATTCGACATGTAATATTATTATAGCGTGTAACGAATCACACTCTAAAGATTTGACATTTGTCATGCTTTAGTAGTTGTAGACTTAGAGCATGTATTGTATGTGTTTCCAAATTCAGTTGTGCATGTTAGATAGTTGATTACCTTGTATATACATGTTGATATATACGTTGTTGCACAATTTATTAATTTTAAAAACTTGGGACGTTGTTGTATGACTACGACTAGGACATGGTTCTAGTACGGAGGATTGTCCCCCTACAAGCCCGGTGCGTACATAGGGAGGTTACCCGTAGGCTAATAACCCTAAAGTAACCACGTTGTCGGTCTGATCCGGCGTGATGTCCGAGTATCCACCTTATTTGATTTCACATTTTATTTCAAGTTGATAACTAGATGATGTTGTAACTTATTGTTCCATTTGATTTCTCATTTTAAGTTTCAAGATGTTAACTTTGAAAAATCATACTTATGCGTTGTATTGGAAGTTCCAATGTTTGTTAAATTGCATCGATATTGTAATTTGTGTTGTATTGTTCTAATGTAGCCTAGGATGATTCATTTGACTCATTTGGAACATAGAGTTAGGTGGCATGAACCATTTTAGTTGATTTTGTATCTTAGATTTCAAGTTGATAATTTTGAGAATCTATATCTTGGTGCGTTGTATAGTATGCTTCTATATTGTGTAATTGCATAAATATTGTAGTTTATGTTAGAAATGCTCTAAGGTAGCTTAGGATGCTCCCTGAGTCTCATTTTGACATAGACGTTAGGTGACAAGAGCCCCTTTGACTTGTTTCACCTTAAGGTGATAATATTGTAAAATGCTAGGTCTATGCATGTTCATTCCCTACGAGTAACTTGTTTACTCACCTCGAAGTTACAAGGTTACTTTCAGGTGCGGATACCTTGGTTCGAGATGCACATCATTCATTGGATGACTTGTAACTTTTAATTTACATTTCATGCAAATGTTAGCATGAAATGTCATTTTGTAACTTTATATGTCAAAACTTGTATCTTTAATTCCATATATGTAACATGTATGTAAATACACATTTTGGAATGTATTTGACATGTATGAGATGAGGCCAGAGGCCAGAGGCCAATGACAATTATTTTGTATCCTATGTATTTGACTTTATGAAATATTATGAAAATATTGAAAAATGGCAAGTCATTACCTCACCATGTTTGTATCAGGTGTGAGAATTCCATTTTTATTTTTTTATAGGGTCTCATTAATCATACATGAAGTTTGGCCAAGGGCCAAACGGTAATTTGAAACCATTTTGTAATTTTAAGTTTCAAAATTCCCTTTTTATTTGCATTTTCGCCTTTTTTGGCCGTCGGGGGGTCAAATTTTTCATCGAGTCTTCTTAAGAGCCGTGGACCATTCCCGCGCGCTTGAAATTAATTATTACACTTGCGTGCATATTCGTTTCAGCCTAGAAATGCATTTAGGGTCAAATGCATACTTAATGCAAAGTTGCATTTTTTTGAGTTTTTGCCATTTTCTGATCTTGGGGCATTCTGGGTATTTCATAGTGCTTTTTTTTTTTTTTTTTTTTTTTGTTTCCGTTCGTGTAGTCGGGTAGAAAACTTGATTTTAGGTGGGATTTCTTCTTCGTGTTTTTCCAGAAAATGTCGTTAAGAGCCCCATTTTTGCTCTCTGTTCTGGCAGATTTCAGAAAAGTATGTAGCAACTTTTTAACCCTCTTGGCCTATATTGATCTAGGGGCATTTTAGGGATTTTATACCGTGTTTTTTTTTTTTTTTTTTTAAATTTCTACCATGGTGCCGGGTAGAAAACATGATTTTAAGGGGGGTTTCTTCTTCGTGTTTTTCCAAAAAATGTTGTCTCGGACTCGAAAACCCAGCATCAAATCTGATTTCGTGTGTGCACCTGCACTATTTGAAAAAGTCTGTTATAAGGGCATTTTGAGAATTTCACTTCAAAAATAAAATTTTGTTTCAAAATAGGCAGCTTGGAAAAATTATTTTGAGGGGGGTTTCTTTTTTGTGTTTC